CCCCCCCCCCCCCCCCCCCCTGCTTTCTACACATACATTGGTTGTTAGATATTGGAACCGAAACTATTTAAATCTCAGCTTAGTTCCTATACTTAAGAATCTATAATGGAACAGCATAAGAAAATACTTAGGATGTTCAGTGATTCTTTAAAAATTTAAATTAAAAAAAAGTAAATCACTCTGATAGAATCAAATTCAGTCTTATCTGTGCAATTCCTGGAAGCAAATAAAAGCACACGTGTTCTGTGGGCTGCTAGGTATTAAAACCAAGGTTAAGATAAAAATCATTCTGATCACATTTTAACAGTGTTAGATGAGGTCCTAGACAGGGACAAAAGACAACAAAACTTGAAGTCTGCCCATCCGTCTGTCAGATTTCCTATATTGCAAAATCATCCAATTATTTCCATGTTTAAGCAGATTCTCCAGTATTCTGCAAGCCCGTTTGGTTTGCATTCTTACGCTATTTTTATAGACCTTCCTGTTATTTCACAGGTTTGCTATGAATTTAGGTGACTGCTCTCTGTGCTTTTACTTTAGACAGGAAAAATGTGAATGGCACACTTTGGCAGGGCTCCAAGAAGCCGGAGAATGATTCGTACATAAGAAGGCCCTGTCAGCTTGAAGGTAATTGCTAAATGTATTTCAGCTGATTTTGCATTTTTCACTAAGTATTTTAAAGGGCACCTAGGAAAATTTCTCATTTTTCACAAATAATCAAACTAAATAATTTGTCTAATCCTTTTGAGATCTCCTTTGTCCTAATGGGGGTAAAAAGTAGTTTAAATAAAACTTACTTTAAAACTGGGAAGCTGAGAACATGTTATGTGAACAATTCTCTCTCTGTGGTCCATGGGCAAAAAAAAGCTTCTCCTATGGTAAATTGTCATTTTGGGGTTGTACAGAACTTGGCAAATGTAATACGATCCTACGGTTCCCTGTGTATTTTACACTGCTCCAAATGGTAGGTACAAATTTTCTAGGCTACTCTTATTCAATTCACTTTCTAAGGTGTGTTTCAACTAACTTTAACTGAAACAATCTTACAGCTAGTGTATGGGAATTTGCTAGTGATGCTATTTAAGAACTGGCCAGTATAAATTCATTAAATTAGAAAAAATAACATGTGAGCATTCACTTTGTTTATTTAAACTAGACTTAAAAAAAATCAAAATGTTTTGACAACCTGCTTAATGTTGCTTCCAGGAATTGAATTTGTATTTGTACCTTCTAATGCCAAGGTAGACTCAATACAGCTGCCTTATGAGGCTAACGCAGTCAAAGTTCAACACCTGTATTAGCATAAACAGAATCTTTGATATGTGAGATAAAATTGGATGTATCTTTCATTCTCTACTTAAGCTAACACAGTGGTAAGAGGGGAAGTAGCTTTACTTTTAGTAATTCCTGTAAAAATGGTCCAGAAATCATCCATTGTTCAGTGATTCTGCTGTTAATAGGATATGCCAAAGATAGCAAAGGACAAAGTGCCAGGTATCCCTCTGGATTTGCTTCACCACTTGAGGATGAACTCTTAAATGCTTGGAAAATAATGGATCCGAAATTGTAAAAGCTATTGCATTTGCTTGTGTATGAGTGAGCTGGATTTCTACAAACCAGAACCAGAAAGAAAAGATGACAAGAAAATTTACATAATCAGAGAATCATATAATTGATTCAGACAGAAGGGACCCTTAAACATCATCTAGTCCAACTCCCCTGTAGCGAACAGGGACACCTGCAGATAGATCAGGTTGCTCAGAGCCCCATCCAGTCTGACCTTGGATGTCTCCAGGCATAGGGCATCCACCACCTCTCTGGGCAACTTGTGCCAATGCTTCACTACCGTTGTCATAAATCCAAACTAAATCTCCTATCTTTTAGTTTGAAATAATTTCTCCTTGTATTATCACAATAGACCCTGCTAAGGAGGAACTCTGCCCTTGTGATGAACCGATGGGCGGAAAAGGAGCCTCAGTGGCTTCAAAGGAAAAGAATTCTAATGATAACTGAAAGAAAAATCAGGGTTTCTTTCCAAACAAGTCTTACTTTTAACAAAAAATATTTCAAAATCATTCTTCAACCTACTGTACAGATTGTCAGTTTGAAGGTGGAAAAAAGTTGAATCACAGAAGAGAACTTTTTGACCTTCCTCCAGTCCTTCCTACTCAAGACTTTTTTTTTTTACCCTTTTAAATATCCAAAGCATGCAAAAGAAGCAGTGCACATTTTAAAAGCTGACAAGTGTTGTAATTGAAGGGCAGGGGCCCAGAGGGAACAGGAAGCAAAGCTGGCAGCTAAATAAAAATCTCCCTTTCCCCCTATGCTGTAAAATTATTAAAAGGGAAGTCCCCTTCACACAGTGGTGAAAACCATTACAAGGAGATTTAAAGTGTTTCACTATTGATCAAGATAATTTGTCACTATTGATTAAAACCTTCTCTTAAGAGAGATAATCCTTCAAGGTCTGCAGATCTATTGCATAATATGATTTTCTGTTAGATGCAATAGGCCATGTGTGGTGGCCAGCACAGGCTCCTCTGCTTACTTCAGAACTGTATTTGTGGGTCTGATCCAAACCTGATCAATGAAAAGACATCCAATGACTCTGGTAGCCTTTGCATTAGGTCCTTAATGTGGCTGTGAGCAAAATCTCTAAAACAGTTTTTCTTATAATAGTACAAAGAGACCATACGTATCTCACAGACAGAATAGTGGGAATACCTATCTTAACTCACAAGCCCAAATCCAATTCATCAGTACCATATTTGCCACTCTGAAAATGACATTGTTGAAAAAGTTGACTATGTGAGTCATAGTCATTGAGCTTCCATGTAAATGCATTCCTAGACGAACAGAAAAGGACTGACACCTTGCAGAAATAGTGGACATGACTCTCCCCTGCTACTAATTCCCTCTACACTAAAGTGACCAGAAACTTCCCAGTTATGTTAATCTGACTGCATAAGCACTGCTTGACATGAGTTGCAATGCCTCTAGAAGTCTAACTAGCTCTGCATTCAAATAAATGGGTGGATTATCAGACACCTGGCCCTCAGTGACTTCAAGGAGATTTGTAGGTGCTTGAGACATCTGGTCATGTTAGATTTTGGACTCTACTATGTCATTTCATTATCAGAAAGTTGTTGGTATTGCTGTAACAATCAGGTATGCAGGAGGAAGATATAGTCTTCTAACTTTATTTAAACTTTTATAGAAACCTCTAAAACTCGTTAAAAAAAAAACGTGACTCATTTTCCTTCTTCCTTTTGATGCATATGCTAAATAAAGGAAATTGATTAATGGGATTTCCTGCGCAACCGACCTATTATTTGAGGGTGGAAGTAATGTGTGAACTGAATTTTGCTCTTTTATGCCTGATGCTCAGATCATAATATGTGGATTTTAACTCAGTCTTACAATATCCAAGTAGCAAACTTACAGAAGCAGTGAATGTTTTCTGTTTGTTTTGTTTTATTTACAAAGGATTGTCTTTTAAGAAAATTAACAATACTAAGTATGTCTCTTGATTCAGAATTTTCTTTATGAATAACATAAAACTATAGGTGTTAACTTGTCTGTACATGCTTTGACTGTTTCACTGACATGAGTTTACAAGTTTTTTTGACCAGCTTTATTCACCTTCTGTTTTTGTTTAATTCCAACATAAATATAGACATTTTGAGGACTGGGGTCTCACCTCTCTGAATATAAAGTTGCATGCTTATGTTAAAACTCCTCCTTCATATGATAGCTGAAGAATTTCAGTCAGTTTTTAAATTTTCTGTTGATGGAAGAGAAAATAATGCAATTGGTCTTGCCTGCCTACAGTTAACATTTGTAAATCTGTATGTTAAGTTAGCCATCCCTTTTCAAGAATTATTAGCAGTATTGCAGAGCATTCCTCAGCAGCAAAAATAAGACCAAGTTCATATTATTTTCTATTAATTTTGGAAAGCCAAGGTAGCACTTAATTCTGTGATTAGAAAATCATAATCAGGGTGATATCTGTGTTGATGGAATGTAATCGCTAGGGCCACTCACTAGGTGATGGTGGCTGCTTTGCCTTGATTTAAAAATGAAAGTGAGAGTAGATCTTTCAAAATAGTCTTATTAAAATGTAGACTTTTGAAGTCATTTGACTAACTATTGTGCATTTTTGTAATGAAAGTAAACGTTCTTTCCAAACAAAGCATTAATTTCATGCTCATTCAACTATTTCAAAGATTGAAGTTAAACAGATCTCAACTGCAATGACCATTTTTGTCTAGGGACTTCAAATTTTTATATAAATATTTCACATGCTTCTGCACTGAAATACTGGAGGAAGTGCTTGGTGGGATTCTGCATTAGGACTAAGTTCAGATGAAGAAGTAAGCATCAATGAATTATATAGATGTAGATCATCTTGTCAGTTTGCTCTGTAGTCTTACTTCAAAGTAGTTTGAGATAAAAACACATGTTTACATGATACAGGGTTAACTTCAGAGAGTCAAAATGTCAGCTCAAACTATCAAGTGCAATTCAAATGATAATTGTCAGAAAAAAAACCTGAAAGCAGGACATTTGAGAGCATGTCTTTTGTTGCTTTTTTCATTATTCATAGAAGATAATATTGTTGGTGATGGGATACATTTGCTGCAAGGAAAGAAGATAGAAGAAACAACATGCCAGGTAAAAGAACTACTCTTCAGCTTCTAAAATTTCATTCAAACAAAAAGCATATTTCTTGCTTCCATTCTGTATGAATTTGCGAAGCAAGCACTTCATGATCAGTACACCTGTATGTATTTCAGAAGCCAAGTTTAAAAGAACTTGGCAATCTGAGCTATGCACCGTTTTCATTATGCAGAACAAATAGGTTTTATTACTTAAAAAACTTTCTGTCTTCTTGAACAAACACATTTCTATTAAATTGATGTATTTGAATTATAACAAGCAAGACCTATAGTAAGTGTTTGTATTAGTTTTGTGTGGTCCATGTTGCACATGTACATCTCTAATGCTTTCTTAATTTATATAAATGCATACTGTGTCTCCTCTTCTGAATACTACATTAATTAGGCCACTACTATGAGCAATTAAAGAGTTCTGACCCCCGGGTTTGCATAATAATTGTAATATAAAAGTAGTTAACAACACATCAGCTGGTGACAAGTGAGCAGCAGAGAGCCAGAAAAGAAAGTGATGTACCGGAGGGGTTATGCTGCCCTTCAAATGGACTTCAACAGTTCTGAAAAATGGGCCAAAAAGAACCTCATCAAGTTCAATAAATGCAAGTGAAAGTACTGAACCTGGGGATGGATGACACCTTCTCCCAGTACAGGTTGAAGGGTAACCGATTGGAAAGCAGCTTTACAGAAAAGAACCAGTGAGTCCTGGTGTATACCAACTTGACCATGAGCCAGAAATGTGTCCTTGGAGCAAAGGTCAACAGCCTCCTGGGCTGCATTGGGCAGAGCATTGCTAGCATATTGAAGAGGCTGATCCTTTCCCTGTGCTCAGCATTGGTGAGCTGACCCACCACCTGTGAGTGTTGGGTCCAATTATTGGCCCCCCAGTCCAAGAGAAGTAAATCCTTTTAAGGGCCACAAAAATGATTTAGAGATGGAAGCATATGTCATACATAGAGAAATTGAGAGACCTGAAGTTGTTCTGCCTGCAGCAGAGAAGGCTCAGGGAGATCTGACCCAGGTGTATATATACCTTCTGGGAGAGTAAAGAAAAGAGAGTCAGACTCCTGTCAGGGGTGGGGTGCCCAGGAACAGTACAAGAGGCAATAGGAACAAACTGAAATATAGAAAATTCCTTTTAACATAAAGAAAGGGTTTTTTTGTTTGGTTTGGTTTGTTTTTTTTTTTTTGCTACAAAGGTGAACAAACACTGGAAGAGGTTGCTCAGATAGTCTGTGGAATGTCCATCATTGGAAATGATTGGAAATGATTCAAACCTGCCACGACACAGACCTGGGCAACCTGTTCTAGCAGACCTGTTCTGACTAGAAGTTCCCCAGAGGTAACTTCCTGTCTCAGCCATCCCAAGTGCATCTGTGATTCTATGAGACATAAAAGATTCAAGTTTACAAGAAAGAGCAATTAAAGAAATGAGCATTTTAGCACTCTCTCAGACAAACAGGCTTCTGTGAGCGCTTCAGGAAAACTAAGATTCCCCATCCATTTCCTAAGTAGATACTCATTCCATTCTGTTCCATTCCATCTTGAAGCACTGGCAAAAAGAGGCTTGGAGCAGAAGCACAGGTTGACAGACACAAGAGCAACACTGTAATAATTGAGCTTTATCATAAGAAAATAACTGTACCTTCTGCATTTATTTTTCTTGTCTTTGCTCTTGTTTGTTCAAGTCTAGCAGGGCTCCCTTGATGGTTCAAACCCTTTGTAGCATATTGAGAAGGACATAAAATATGAAGTAATGCAGTCTTTGGGCTAATACATTTTCAAAAATGTTTCATGCCTCATTTCTCACGTAAATTCTTAGGTTGCATTCAGCCTTCAAAGTGTCATTCATATTCATGAAGAAAAAAAGGCTAGCATTCATTACTTTCACTGATAAGCTATAAGCACTGTCAGGCTTGCCCACCAGGGACTGCATCAGTGCCCCAGGGAAAGTGTATTCTCCTGATGTTCCTGTCATGAGGACATTGTGACCAAGAAATGGATTATGAGCAGATGATGAAAGAGTAAATTGTCTTGTCTTTGCTTAGTTCTGAAGATCCTCCCATTTTCTCTGCTTTGTTAATCCAAATCAAACTCACACCCCTGGGGCTCAGCATCAGAGGCAAAATTAGGCAAACTGAACGAGGTTCTTTTTAGAACTGCATCAGTGACATTTGCTCCTCAGCTGAGGAGTTGATGCTGAAGAAAGGCTTATGGGGCTTTCCTGCTCATAGAAAAAAAGAGACAGGATGTAGAATGCGATCCAAGCATCCCATTGTTATAAAGCAGGCATCGTGATGCTTATTGGGCATCCCAGGCAGCTGATGAAATGAAGACATCTTGGTTTCAAACTGATTTCAGTGTGTTTCAACTGGTGTCTATCAGCCATCACGTTTGTACACAGACAGTGTTTGGTTGAAAGACTGCTGAGCTTTCAACATTCATTTAATGACATGATAGTAACATGGCAATTTATACTCATTCATCTTATTTACATTGGATTTTTCTTCACTTTTCTTACCATCTAGGTGATAAATTATGAGCAATGGATTCCACCACGAGTTTACAGTCCAAGAGTGGCAAGTAATGGTGAAATGGTGAGTTGCCACGAATATTGTTCACTTTATTTCAACAGTGGCTGGAAGCCACATGAAGAACATGCTGTTTTAAAATGGTTTCCTTTACTGCATGTTGCTTTCCCAAAAGTTGAAAGATCTTTATCCAAAATCCATGCTTTTAATCATGATGTTTCTTTATCTTTTATAGAATAACTCATAATTGCTCTGTGGTTTCCCAAGGGAAAATCTATCTAGCCTGTTAGTTTGACTCTGAAATCATTTTTGAGCAGATAGAAAACCAGACCGAAATAATGGGATATTTAAAGGTCAGGCTGATATCTATGGCCAGGAGCATATGAAAGAAGTTTCCACAGTACTTGTCTGTTTATTGGCTGACTGTGGCTTTACTGACATTTTTTAACATAAAGTTTATCCAAAATCAGTGCCTTTAACAGAGCTGAACCTTTGTATAAATAGAGCAGAATGTTCTCTATTCCAGTGTACTATTTTAATATTCATTATGTGCAGCAGGGATATTACTGATATTTTTGAAAAATTTCTGTGGTACTGTAACAGTAATTCCATGGATGTGATAAACACATAGTAATTTTTATCTTCTTGCTATTATACTATACTCTGAATATGAATGCATAACTAATCATGATTAAATCATTCCAGTTCTTTAGGAAAGACAAACCAGTTCAGGGGAAATCACAGAGACTTGGCTCTCCATGACTAAATTCTTTACACTGAGAAGTGATGTGCTGTGCTAGTACTTTTATTGAAATTAATGCAGTTAACCCAGGAAAAGGAGTGCTCAACAGGACTGAGATAGCTGGAGTCAGGCCAACAGCCTTTTTCATTTAGCTTTCAAATTGCTATATTTCTGTCACCAGGTTAATCCTCATAGCATCTCAGTGAGCAAAGATTTCTAAGGTATTTAGAAAGCATTAGGATAAACTACAAACTGTTTGTCAGACACAATTTAGCTATTTCTGTCTGCAATCCATTTTAATAAGGACATTTTAAAATGTACACTTTTGACCATAACTGTTCGTGTACACTTCATGCAAATTATTTTCAACTAAAATGCAGCCTGTTATTTATTTTCTTAGACAATTTTATTTTTTTATTCATGATGTGACACCATTTTTCATGACTGAAATCCCTTAAGCGTGGAAATAAATATTCTTGTTCATGAAAGAATTCTTTGCTTACAGATACCTTTACCCACAAATTGTGTTGTAATCACAGAATCACAGAATTGCATGGGTTGAAGGGGACCTTAAGAGATTATTGAATCCAACCCCCTGCTAAAGCAGGTACCCTACTCTGACCCTAAAACACGAAGGAAAAAGAAAGTTAAAAGTTCCTTAAACATGTTTGAAATTAACAGTTTTTGCGAGTACAGTTTTATTGCTCTGTGAACTAGGTTTCACTGTCCCCCCAGTATTGCTAAATATCATTCCCTTTCTATAGAGAAAGAAGGTACTGGAAAGTAGCATACTCCAAATTAGTCAAACAAATTACTTGTTCTGGTCAGTAACAATGTTCTTCCTTCTGTCATATTCTGTACAGTAGCAACCAAAGCTGCTAGCTTCCAAATAACACAGACAGTGAGAAGAAAATTGCTTGAAATCGCAGAATAAAATTTAAGTTTTTCTCACTTTTATGGATGTTTTCAAAAAGTCTGACTGAGGCTAGTTGAGACAACATACCAAAACAATGAGAACAAGGATGATCAGTTCACCTAGTAGTCTATCTACACAAAATAGTGTTTTACTTCATCTACCATATGAGTAGGCAGCTAAAATTCTGGATTTTGATACTTAGGTAAAGCAAAATAAACTGCTTTAAATTTAAAAATTGTCCCATCAATGATACTGTATGATATTATATTTTATCTGTAAAAAGGGGAGTTGCTGTATTTAAGTACATAAGACTAACTAACAGTGAATGCTCTTAAAGAGGATTAGAGTTTGCCATTAATAAAATTATCTCAATAGATTATCATTTGTTTATCTTCATGTCTCCACAATGGAAATCCTAGATCATAACTCAAGTGATTGTGTTGCTTTTGTATCATTACTTATAAGTGAACAAAGGATTATTTCTATGAGAGTTCTTATCTAACTGAGCCATATTAGCATTTTAAACCCATTGTGATTCATTTTGCAAAGACATCTCACAGTAGGAGACTGAAAAATTACACCTCAATTTCTGTCTTCAGATAAACTAAAACTGCAATCCTGCTCTCCTGAATTTGGAGGATGGAAGAAGGGGCTTTAAACAGTCATGACTAATCTAAGGTGTTTGGATTTGGCCCACAGATGATGATGAATATTTAGATATAAGCTATAAGTAAAAGGATTGTAAGCTGACAAAAGCTTTAAGGTGGATCTGCCTGATCCTCATCCTACAAGATCCTTAAGAAGACAGAGATGGTCTGTCTTCCAAAGACACTCAAAGACACTGGATCTTATTGGTCTGTGAAATAAAATAATTAATTCTTCAAATGGCAAAAAATTGAAGGAACCAGTTTTTGTCTATTAACTAGGATTGGGTAATATAGGTATCAGACCAGCAGAACAGTTCATTCTGAAGACCTGATGCCCGTGGACTGGGTGTACCCTCAGCAAGTTTGCTGGTGACAATAAGCTGAGATACGACAGAAAGAAGGGATAACATCCAGAGGGACCTGGACAGGCTTGTAAAGTGGGCCAACGAAAATCTAATGAGGTTTAACAAGACCAAGTGCAAGGTTCTGTCCTTGGATCAGGGAAATCCCAGTTATGTATACAAACTGGGTGAAGAACTCCTTGAGACTAGCCCTGCTGAGAAGGACTTAGGGATCCTTATTGTTGAAAAACTTAATACGAGCCATCAGTGTGCTATTGCAGCCCCAAAGGCTGATGGTATCCTGGGTTTCATCAGAAGAAGGGTGGCCAGCAGTGCAGGGGAGGTGACTGTCTCCCTCTACTCTCCCTCATGAGATCCCAACTGGAGCACTGCATCCAGGTCTGGGCCCCAACACAGGAAAGATGTGGAACTTTTGCAGAGGATCCAGAGGACCACAAAGATAATACAAGGGCTCTCCTATGAAGATAGGCTGAAGGAACTGGGCTTGTTCAGCCTGGAAAAGAGAAAGCTGTGGGGAAACCACCTTGCTGCCTTCCAGTATTTAAAAGGAGTTTATAAACATGAGGGAAATCAACTTTTTTCAAGGGAAGATAGTGATAGGACGATGGGAGATGGTTTTAAACTAAAGCAAGGGAGATTCAGATTAGATGTTAGGGCAAAGTTGTTTGCTGAAAGAATAGTGAGAAGCTGGAACGAGTTGCCCAGTGAGGTTGTGGATGCTCCGTCTGTGGAGGTATTTAAGGCTAGGTTGGATGGGACCCTGAGCAGCCTGGTCTAGTACTTGATCTAGCAGCTGACAACTCTGCCTGTCGCAGGGGGTTGGAACTTGCTGATTCTTGAGGTACGTTCCAACCCAAGCTATTCTATGATTCTGTGAACTTGTGAAAGACACTGCAAATACCAAAAAGTATTTACATAAAATTCTGTCTCTGTCAGTGAGTCTCAGTATCCAGGACAGCCTGCAGGCTATCTGTTCAACTTCTGGAAAAGTCTTGTCTCCAGGCATAGCCGATGTTCACCACTTCTTACAGCAGCCATCATACCTCTGCTGAGCTGCAGGCCTACACCTGCCTCTCAGGGCTCTCTTATCTTCTTTTACTGCTCACAAGACCTGTGGTCAGCAAGCTCAGTAGAGCCCTGTTCCTTGAGAGAATCATACTCCTTCTGCTATTCTTAAAGGAATGTAATGTGCCACTAAGAACAAGGGAGTATAAACTCAAGTGCTGTCCATGATGGGACCTCCTGCGTTACACACAGTGTTTAACAAGAGGAGGAATTGTAAGGTCCTGTCCTTAGGAAGGTCAGCATAGTTCTATGTCAGTCCACAAAACCATATTAATTTGTAACAGCCATAATGGAGTCAGCTGAAGTTGAGTCTAGAGATAGGTTAATTCATAGTTTCAATGCAATTGTCCAGTGACATGAAACTGAGTAAATACATGTGAAAATGCCTTTGCCTTTTTCCTGGACTTCTCTTTCTGCTTATAGAACCTCATGTCTTCATAAAAAAATATCTGGCTCTTTGGCAACTTCACGTTAAGCAGTTATCTGTCAAATGAACTGTGTCTTTTCTTCATATGAAATTAACATACACACTCTACTCTCCCTTATCACTGGATGGATGTAACTTGTAATATGTGAATGCTGAGAATTTAGAAGTGCTTCTTGCTAAGGCTTGGCAAAAAACCTTTAACCCAAATGAAAGCAGAGAAGTTCAGAATCTTTCAGGATCCACCCCTAAGTAGCCTACCCAATCTACATTAGACTGTGCTGGCAAGCCTCCCTGATGACATTGTCTCAAAAGATTATGAGAAAGCAGAAAGAAGCTATGATGTGTGACCTAATTGTTGGGGAGAGTGCAATAAAGGTATTCTGCATTCCTACCTTCTGGTAACATCAGTGCTAGCACTTAATCACTCGTAATATCAGTAAAGATACATTGTTTAAAAAGGCCAAATTAATTATTGATGTAAATAGATGAATATACACAGCAGCCATTATTGTTCCATAAAATAGTCATTGCTGAACTGTTTTTATGCACTTCTAGTATATTTACTTCTCCTTGTTTCTAATGAAAATCAGATATCCTATGTGAAACATAGCACATGACTATGGAAGGTAAGTTATTTGCTGTATGACATGTCTCTCTTAAAGAGAAGTTCATCAGATTCAAAGAGAACTTGAGTATTTCTAGACTGATGGATTATTGCAGCCAGAGGGTTGCGGTCAATGGCTCTATGTCCACATAGAGACCAGTCACAAGTGTGTCCTACAGGAGCCCATCCTGGGACAGGTGCTCTTTAACATCTTTATCAGTGATCCAGACAGTGGGATTGTGTGCACGCTCAGCAAGTTTGCTGATGACTATAAGCTGAGATACAACAGAAAAAAGGGACAGCATCCAGAGGGACCTGGGCAGGCTTGAAATGTGGGCCAACAAGAACCTAATGATGTTTGAAAAGGCCAAGTGCAAGGTGCTGTCCTTGGATCAGGGAAATCCCAGATATGTATACAAACTTGGAGAAGAACTCATTGAGAGCAGCTGTGTGGAGAAGGTTATGGGGGTTCTGGTGGACAAAAAGTTGGGCATGAGCCAGCAGTGGGCTATTGCAGCCTCCAGTGGTATCCTGGGTTCCATCAAAAGAGGGGTGGCCAGCAGAGAGAAGGAGGTGATTGTCCCTTATACGTTGTTCTTCTAAGACAAAATCTGGAGTACTGCCTCCAGGCCTGTAGCTCCCACCACAAGAAAGATGTGGAGTTGTTGCAACAGAGGAGGGCCATAAAGATAATAAAAAGGCTGGAGCACCTCTCTTGTGAAGAAAGACTGAGGTAATTAGTACTTTTTTCTGTGAATTTTTAATACTTACTTTTAATGTCTTTGTTTTTTTGGCAGGGTGCAGAACCAGATGATAAAGCAGAGACCATGGGAACATTAAAACGATTGCAGAAATTGGTCCGAACCAAAAAAGCCAATACACAAAGCTTGGAGGATGTCAAACATGTTTTGATCCCCCTTAGTAAGTAAAACATCAGATCAGCATTCTTTCCAATATGTGCCAAATGTCACTGTACTGAACATAACTATAAACAATCCTCTCCTGATTTGTCATTCACCACCCACGATTTTCAAACCCCAGCTGAGATGTTACTGTGATAACACTTAGTGGTGACATCCTCATAGTGTGAAAACCTGTTTCCTGTCACGCTGGCTTGAGTTTTGTAACAGTATATCTTGCAAGTGGGAATTTCATCTAAACAGTGGGGCCTCCATGCTAAGGACAGTGTTTCCAAAAGGAGTTCTTGGTTTTGTATCTAATTTCATATCAGGAAGACAAAGCTTACAAACGCAAAGTTAACAGTCAGTGTTCATCCGTGAGTCAGTAGCAGCTGGGAGTGGAAGAAGGTCTGCTCCACCAGTCAGTCTCTCATCATACCTGATTGCCTAAGGTATGATGCCTAAGGTATGATGTTGGGTCTCCTCCTACAAATTACTGATCTGACTGTGCAGCAGTTCTTTATCTGAATTTATTTTGCCAATATTTATTTAACTGTGCATGCATTTGGTATAGATGATATTTTTTAAACAAATACCAGCAAATGACTTTTTATGATCTAATTAATTACCACTCCAATCAAAGCATTGTGAAGAAATTTAGATGTGGGATAGATTTCAGCAACTACTTTGTAATTCAAACATACATAACAGGAAGGAGTGGGAGAATAATTATCTTGAAAAACCGTCTGAACTTTTCCAGTATTTAAACTTAGCATATACTCTCTGCAACTACTGCAGTAATATGACATTGACTTAGTAAATTTTCATATTCATTGCAAAAACAGTAAAAATTTCCAGGATTTTGAGGGAACACAAATAAGCCAAGCGGAGAATAAATCTTGCTGTTGGCTCAGATGTCTTTCTGTCTTTGTAGTTACGATGTTTTTTTTTTTTTAATGGAGTCTTTGGCTGTTTCATTACATAGAATGCAAAAGACAATATTTAAGAAATGTAGTATGCTATTTTCTGTATGTCTTGCAATATATCATAACAGAAGTATTTGTATTTTTAAAGATACATTAGAAGATACTTATCTTTCAGAAGAGGATGAAGAGGCACTAACTTCTTGCATGAAACTGGCAAAACCTCAGGAAAAGAAAGCCTGGAAAGACAATGTGAGGAGAAAAGAAGAGACTGAGACTAGGGCAGAGTTTATTTCTGCGTCTTTGGGCCGGTCGTATACTTCCAAATTTAGTAACTTAGGAATGATTTCAATCCATTCAGAAACTGAATTTCATTTGTGGAGTGACTGGAAGCCATTTCCTGATAACCAGCTCTGTCCTTGTGATTTCTTGATTTCAAAAATAGAAGAATGGGAAAAATGTACTTGTGCTTCTCATCAGCCACATCTTACAAATTCCCTTACTGATATGGATCTGCAGTACTCCTGGGTAAGTGGAAGTGGTTCTTTTTGTACTGAAATGGGTAAAACATAGAAGCTTTTTGCTCTGGTTCAGCATTAAAAGGTGCTGTCATTTTACATATGGTTCTGAAATGCAATACATCAGATCTGGATTTCAGGTAAATGGCCATGTCAGTCAGAGTAACACCAGGGGTTCCTTATCCTGAGGTCATTCATTTTCAACTGTGCAGGCATTGGCAGCATTGAACCAGGCTTTAGATCATTTTGTTTCTCATCAGACACACTGGATTTTTCAGCTGTACATTAAATACTCATCCAGGCTTAGAAAACTTTTTGAAAGTCTGGGGTAAACTGAAGTCAGTAAGGGTCAATGAAACAAGTGGTGTTGTATCAGGCCCCTAGAGGTCACTGCAATTCTAGTAAGGGACACTAGAGTTATTTGGAGAAAGGTCAGAGGCTGAAGAAGTATTGATGTATCTGTCTTCTTGGATCAGGTCAGCTGGTGAAACCTGTTTTTGCAATTACCTTTGTGGCAACAAGTTCTTAGAGATGGATGCAAGGGAGCAGAGTTCGATCTTGTTCTGAAACAGTCTTTCTGAACAGCTATCTAGAGAAGGCTTTTCTTCAACCACTGTTGTTGGTTTTTTTGGTTTTTTTTTTAAAGTGCAATTTAAAACTAGAAAACAAACAAACATAAACTTTAGTTGGAAAGGTATATAAACAATGGACACTGCAGTGAGGTTTTTCTGCCCCTCAATACTGGAAACAGCAGGTCTTCTGGCATTGCACATAGTGATGGTAAACACGTGGAAAGTGATCTACTGACTGAAAACTATCAGGGAAAAAGCAAACAGCAGACTCCTTTGCCTTTTCATTCATTCCCTCATGTTATGCTCCAGGGACAGTGATGGTTCACGCTCTGCAATTACACCAGCTCTCAGGAATGTGAATCTAAATCACAGGAGGCAAGATAGCTGCAGGCACCTGCGAGCTGGGTGTGCAAATGGAGAGCTGAGTAACCAGAGCCTGATCTGAATCACTTTCTGGCTCTGACTTGGTATATGCTGAAAACAACATTTTCTTTAATGTGTGCTTGCATATCATTAGGAAAGGTACACACATATACATCATTGCTGCAGTGAAGTAGGTCAATATAGCAACCATATTCCTGAATACATTAAAGTAGTCATTCATCTTTTTTTAAATGATGTAGTAGCCTGCACAACAAAAAGCAGTACCTGATATGTAGGATTTGTATAGCAAAATGTAGCATGGAAGATTTGGCATAGAAAACAGAAAGGCAAAAGCACTGACTGATGATTCTGTAATTAGGACAGAAAGAAAACTGTTCCCCAAAAGAAGATAATGAAGGTGCTGTAGTGAAATCCTGGATGGCCTCAGCAGTGCAAACTCCCAGGGAGAGCCCTGGAAACAGACTTTTGGGGCAGAGTTTTGGTAGAAATTGGATGGAAGTTGTGCATGAAAGAGATTGTTGTGCTGTGTGAGTCCCAGTCTACAAGTAAGCAGGATTCCCTATAGAAACCAGATTGTATGAGGAACACTGGACTCCATCATATGCTTTATCCCAGTGAAAGAAACTCAGCATCTCAAGCTAAGACTGAATGAAGCCCCAGGGCAAAATGCTAATAATATTGATGTTTGGGTCAGATTTATGAGAGCATAAATGTTGATTCAAATAATTCTTTTTCATTTTGCTGCAGTCTGTTAACATTCTCTACAGTGGTGAGATTTATCCTACCCATGTTACTACTAAGTGCCAGCAAGAGCTTTAGTGTTTTTTTTTTTTCTGCATTATTGTTTATTTTGCCATCTGCTTTCCTGATGGACAGTTTGTTTCCTGACTTTAATGTAACTCTCTGGGCTTAGTCTCTTCAGATTTAGATTACAGGCAATAGTAAGACATCTCATTCTTTGCATTTGCATTCTACCAACTGGCTCAATTGAAGATTACTAAGACTGGATTTTCAGTTTTGCTTTTTAAGAATCAAAAAAGCCAGCACTGATGGTTTTGCTATGAGAGGATTAGGCACAGAGGATGATGCAGATGTTCTTTCTGATGTTGATTTACTTACTAGAGTAAACCCAATATTTTGCATAATACTCTTTCTGATTCTAACAGTAAAGCAACATTTCATTTTCTTGGTTGATCTTGGCTTGGCTACTCCTCTGTTGTCTGTAGCATGATACGGAGCAGGCAGTCTGAGGTAATACTGAAATGCTAATAATTACATCCTAACTTAAGAAAAATAGGCAACACTGGTATATGTAAGACTATGGTTCAAGACTTCCTATTCTTTTAGCAAACTGTGGCTGATTTGATTTGGGGCAGAGGTAAATCTCTAGGTCGTATGCGTATTGTCTCGACTCATTTTGTCAACCCATACAAATCTAATGGAGCCTAGGGTTTATAAAGCTTGATGTGTACATAGTAAATGATTAATGCTCTCCCATAATCATAAGAAAAAAGGACCTGGATCTCTTAGAGAGAAACTGCTATTCGGAGAAAAATTAATGAGTGATCTTAATTCCCTTCCCTTAGTTTCTTTCTCAGACTTCTTTTCTTTCTTGCTCCCTATCTCTTTACACAGCCTTCCTTATGGTATTCTGTATTGCCAATGTTTGTTTCGCCTAAATCAGCAAAAGGCTGGCAGAGGTCACGTAAGCAAGAACTGTGAGAACAGGCCTTCACCGTCAGCTACAACACTCACCAAACTCCTCCAGCTAGTCTTCCTTCAGAGCACACATTAAATGCCTGTGTTAGCTCCTATCTCACCCATCTTGCCCACATGAAAACATTTTAGAAGTCTGTATTTCTGGCCTTTAATTAAATAGTGAGCCAAATGTGCTATGTTACCATTTTATAGCCACAGTGCCACCAGTAGCGGTTCTCTGAAAAGTTAGATTAGACATAGGTCATTTTTTTCCTGGATTGTTCGGCTGTTTACAATATAATTGGGGACCGGTCAAAATTATGTTAAAGACATCATTGCTATTTTAGGTATAAAAAGTAATTTGTAAATATTTCTTCTGTGGAATGTAGATGAATATATTTAAGAAAATATTGAAAAAAGCAAAAAAGAGGCAATTTGTCCTAGATAAAGAAACTACTATGCTACAGATTATTTTATATTACCACAGTGTACTGGAGAGAGAAATAGCCTTGCAATTATTGCTGTGGTTTTCTATTTCAGTGACCACGTGGCTTTTTGCTCTTCTGATCTAACTTGCTTGCTTTCCAGACAAACCATTTCTCAGCATTACCCTTTGACCCTTAGTAGACATGCACATTCTGACACTAATTTCTCTGCTGAAGAAACACTCTTCTCCTCAGCTCTATTTACTGACGTTCAAACTTCTCCAAACATGGTCTACTTAATAGGCCCTGATTCCTGATACCCTCACACAGCTTTGCTTGCTTGGTATGATTGCTCACATCCTGCACTCTGTGCCGTGACTGCTGCTCCTGATCATCATGGCTCTCCAAAAGGTTCTGTGTAATGCCTAGAGGCCTTGGCAGGTTGTTGGATCTCTTGTATACTAGGGATCATTATTTTCTAGGTTAGTGGAGTACAGAGGAAGGATATGAATGTATGGACAGCCAGTAATGGCCAGGGACAGACAGTGCTTTTCTCCAGCAAAATGTGCTTCAAAACTGAAAACTTCATTTGACCCGTTCTGCTCAGAGAATGGCTGAGGGATTTCTTCATATCAGGCAGCAGTTTTTCCTGTGCACTGTGTGTGTGCTCAGTTTTCTGAAGAAGTTTCACTGTTTTCTAATTGTATTTCTTTCAGTTTATGTCTTTCTGTTGAGGGAGTCCAGTACAGATTTTAGCAAAGTTTTCTCAACTATATGTGGAATCATTTGGTGCAAACATAACAACATAAGAAGCCTGGAATACATAAAATTGCATTTCTGAGACACCAGTTTTAAACAGTTCCAGTCTTTCTAGCTATTTCAGTACCACTAATAAGTGGTATTTTTTAAATCTGTAGCTCTTGTTCTATTTCAGTGGTGGAATAGGAAGCCAGATCCACACCTATTATGAATTCCTTGTTCTGTTGGTGTTATGGAAGTCCAGTTCACTTGTTCCTTTGTTGAGACTCAAAGTCTTTGCCCTGAAAAGAAGCAAAGAGCTGCTGAAAGGTTGGCTGGAAAGCAGTCAGGACCATGATGGGTGTTCAGCTGGTAAGCTGTGGCTGAAACCTGAAAAAAAACAGGACTGGTTTTCTAAGAAATGAAACTGTCTCCAGCTGCTTCTCTATCGTATCTTCACTTGTAAGCCCCCATCAGGTTTCCTGTTTCTTTTTTGACCTAAGTTCTACTGCTACTATGATGTCCCCATCAGTGCACCACAGCTCAGCCTTTTACCTTTTTTACTTTGCACCTTACAGGGCCGAGGGACAGCTAGAAACCCCTCGGTGTTTTCCAGGCTGATAGGCAAAAGAGAATATTGCTGCATCTAAATCTCTCATGTGGTCAAATTCAAAGGCACTCAATATTTCCTGATTCAAACCCTGTCCCATAGCTTTGTTAAAGGTTATTTTGAATTTTAAGCCCTGTGAGGAGGATGGGGATTGAGATATATTTATATGTGTCTGTTAAAGGCAAATGCTTGTGAACTTGGTGTAGCACTGATTTTAAAATTGAGAAAAGTCAAGATCCATGGCTGAAATTTCACTGTTTACTTTTCTTAGAAATATTAAGCAAAATATTAACTTACCTGAAAAGACATGAATACTAATGAAGTTGAGAGCTCTTATTTTTCCTAACGTCTGCAGTCTTTCCTGATGTCTGTAGATCTCTCATTTCCAGCATCTATGGAATCTTACTACATCTCCTATCATCGGGAGCTTTATTTAAGAAAATGTTATACCAGGAAGTTGTTAAATATCATATGGATTGCTTCAGTACAATACACAGAGTGAAAATCACCTCTTAAAGTGAGAGGAGGACTCATCCCTCAGGCTCTGTACACGGAGGAGGGGAGTTTGGGATGGCATTACTCA